AAAAAAAACAAAGGTGAACAACATTGTTAGTGATGCGTAAGCAATACAGAGTATCAATTGCCTATCGCATCGCATTGGGCTTTCGAATCGCATTGTCTTTCACATCGCTTTTATCAATAAAGGCACTCATTTCGGCGCAGAAATATTATAAAATTGTTTTCTTAAACTCATATCACGACTACGATATTAACTCCAGAGACAATAAATTATGCATCCGAGATGATATGAGAGTGGTTTTTGGGAGCTGGTGTGAAAATTGGACGATGGGCGTGGCACCACTGACTTTTTGGTGAAATCCTATATCTCGGTACCCGACCAAATGATTTCGACAAAATTTAGTAAGTCTTCTCACATTCTTATGCCACAGTGTGAAAATGACGAAATCGGAGTACAACTACGCCTACTTCCTATAAAGAATCATTTTAAATTCTACTTGGTTCGTTCAGTTTCCAGTACACAAATCAAAAAGCAATTAATATAAAGGGATAACCCTTTGAACAAAAAGAGATTTAGTGTGTGCCACCTTAYGACCAACAATTTTTTAAATCCAATAAGAACTGTTCACGCCACTTCGTACCGAATATTTAGACCTCAATCCCATAATTGGCTTTCGATGGAAAATGACAGTCAATGCGTGATATATATAACAGAAATTATGGGTTGAATCGAACCAATACTTTTCATAGCCCCCATATACCTAATATAAGAAGTTTTTAAGTTTGTGGTGACTTTGTGGTGACTTTGTACTGCATATATCGGCCAATATGTGAGTTATCCCAATGAAAATAAGGGATCGTGTTTTATTCATAAAAGTTTATCGTTGTGCCTAAAATAGCTAAAGTTGAGCGAAAACTTGGCCCAACCCCTATATCACTAATATCAGGATTTTTGAACATCCTGCTGACTTTACTATATATTATTGGTTTTACACCTTAAACTATTTCCCGTGCTTTGATTCTTGAAAGTTGCACGGGTATAAAATGTTCGGTTGCACCCGACTTAGTTGTCCGTCGAAGGCGATTTTCTGGAGCTTTGGGTAATGGAGGATCTGGAAGAAAATTGAGTGGTCTTCCGATCAGAAAGTCACCCGGTGTTAGAGCTACCCTTCCTTCTGGATCATCGTTGAGAGCTATCAGTGGTCTCGAATTTAGACACGCTTCGATACCAGTCAGGAGAGTAGACAATTCAGTGYGACGCATCGTCTGATTGCCCATGACCCTCAGCAGGTCCTTTTTAGCTGAACGAACTGCTGTCTCCCATAGACCACCGTGATGAGGGGMGGAAGGTGTTATGAACTTCCAACATGTACTTTAAATCTTCTTGCATTTGACGATTGGCCCCTACAAATTGAGTCCCATTATCACTGTATAAGGTGGTACAGGGGTATCTGCATCGACTTATGAAACGATCGTAAACATCTATAAATCAAGTCCTCTGCCAGCTCAATGTGTACCGCTCGTGACGCCATGCAAATAAATATGGCAGCATAAGTTTTTGTAGTCGGGGTGGCGCGATGCGTTCCCACACAATCATGCAATGGCCCGCAGTAATCGAAGCCACTACGAGAGAATGGTGGAGCCACAAGTACACGCTCTTTCGGGAGCGAAGCCATTTGTTGACGTTGTATAATTTGAACATGCCTACGACAAGTAGTGCAAGCCCAGATGAAAGACTTTACTTGCGCCCGTGCGCCTATAAGCCAGAAACGTTGTCTAAGGAACTGAAGCATTTGTTGTATYCCACCATGTAAGCAACGTGTATGAGCATCAGCGACTAGTAAATAAGCCAGAGCCCCGGAGCCGCGGAATTATAATTTGATGTCGCTGATCTTGACTTAAGTTGGAGTTTGTGAGTCGACCACCTACTCTCAGTATGCCGTCTGCATCCAAGAAAGGATTGAGTGCTAAGATTTCACTACGACCCGSAATTCTGGAATGCAATGCAAGAGCCTTAATTTCTTGTTTAAAATGATTACCTTGTACTTGTCGAACATGCAGAAGTAAAGCCCAGTGCTGGTCTRCGACAGAAACCATATCGTTCCTGTAACCACGGTATTTGGGTAACCAGCGCCTTAACCAAACAGTGGTGTTAAGTAGACGACTCAATTTGCTAAATTTCTCTATGAGAGGTATCCCGTTGTCTTTCGTGGATGTCATAATCCACTGGTAATTAGTTCTGGAAACGAAAATGGAGACCACCCGGGATTCAGCAATTGAGAGGTGCTCCTCCTCCACAGTTAACGAAGGTAGACACATTTGCTCCACGCCTTGGTGAGTGCACATCGGTCCGGTCCACCAAAGATGATGATCGGCTAAGGCGGCGGGAGATAGACCTCTGCTTGCCTAGGCTTGACGTACGTTGTCCATCGCCTTGGTTAGAAGATGAGCACCAAATAGTTCGAGGCGTGGTATCGTCACATCCTTAATTGGTGCTATCTGCGTCTTCGCTGAAACAAGAACATATATGACTGCTGCATATGCTTTACCACTAGCATCGAAAAAGCCGTGTAAATGCACCGAAGAGCCCACTCGTATACCTAGCCAATGAGGAACACGAAGTCGTGTAATATCTTGTAAACTGTTGCGGAATATCACCCATGAGTTGAGTAGCTCTGGAGGAAGTTCAGCCCAGTAAAGACCCTATACCTTTGTTGTTGAGTTGTTCAACTCTAGTTCTGATGCAGAAACTGTTGTACCAGTTATCGCAGATAATACGTGTATAGAATTGGAATTCCACTTTCCCAATATGAATTGTCCTTGTTTCAAAATAGTCGCTACATCTTGAGCACGGGTAATAGCARGTTCATCGCTGTYGACGCTATCCAAATAGTCATCAACATAGAAATTATAAAGTATGCTATGATGCGCTGCGGCAGCTTGGCTTGGGTCACAGATGACTTCATAATTGTCATTCGCACATTGACGCAGTGCGCGTATTGCGTTGAATGGACTACACGCCATTCCATAAGTTACCGTCTTCAATTCGTACACTTGAAGGGGTTCATTTGGCGATTCACGCCAAAGTATTTGCTGCCATTTACGATGTCGTCTATCTAACAGTATTTGTCGGAACATATTCTGTATGTCTGCAGTGATGGCTACCTTGCATTTGCGAAATATGTCGACAATATTGGCATGTAGTTGTGGTCCAGAACACTGTGTATCGTTTAAGGATGTCCCATTCGATGTCTTCGCGGAAGCGTTGAAAACTACGCGAAACTTTGTGGTTACCGCATGATRAGGTATGAAGTAACCATTTTCTTTGTTGGTGAAAGYTTGCTTGCTAACCTCCATGTGATCGAGAGCAATGTATTCTCGCATAAATGCAATGTACTGCTCACGAAGACATGGGTCGTTCATCAACCGCCGCTCGAGTTGTAGAAACTGGCAGACTGCCGATTGATGTGATTCTCCAAGAGCAGGAGCATCTGGTCGAAATAATATTTGCACCTGGTACCTGCCGTCTGAGGTGCGGGTAACTGTGTCATTGAAGATCGTTTCACAGTCATCGACGTGAATTTCGGAAGATGGTATGGGCTCTTCGAGTTCCCAGAAGCTTCTAAGTAACGTGTTTAGTTGTTCGTTGACGCATTTCGCAGTAAAAGATGTGTGTAAAGTGGAGTGAGCAGAACTTGTCACTGAATGAGACCCATTAATACGTCTTCACCAAGTAGCAGATCCACCGAACTTGGAGTGGCAAAAGTTGGGTCAGCTAGCGGCAAATCCTTTAAATGGCTCCAAGCTTCTGCGTCTATATGCGTAYCTGGCGTTACTGAGGTTATTGTCGGCACGACATAAGCCTCGAGTTTGAAGTTAATGTTGTTGTCAAAGGCAGACTGCATCTGTACTGTTATGTGACCTTTACTGTAGACCGCAGCGCTAGAACCAATTCCTTCAATTCGTATCTCCCCTGGATGCCTACGAAGACACGTACGTTTTGTAGTAGCATCGGTAATCAGACTCACCTGAGAGCCCAGGTCGCAGAGAGCACGACACGTGAATTGTTCTCCATTGGGATCAGTCAGGACGCCATTCGCAGTCGCCAGTAAAATGGTCCGGTCTCCATTAATGAGAAATGACCGGACCTTCCTCAAATGTCACTGTTGTCGTGGGTATACCCTTGGCACCTGTGTTGAAGGTGTGTCTATGGGTATATTCTGATCGGTTCTGTGACTGTTAGTGTCTTCCTCCATAGTCGGTGAATTGTTCGCAACGTTGCCTTTGCAGAGCATAGTATGATGACGATTATGGCACCTTAAGCAATCCCGCGATGTACAATCACGAGATCCATGATCACGTCCAAGGCAGTTGAAATATAACGAAAGCCGTTTAACTGTATCCCACCGTTCCGGTATGGAAAGATTAACGAACCGTTGACACTTGTGTATTCGGTGTCCGTTAGAGCAAAGTTGGCAAACAACCGTAACCCCTTTCACTGAATGTAACGGCTGAGATGAGTTTACCATTGCCACGTTAGCCTTAAAGGGACGGTTTGGTCTCTGCTGAATAGTTGTTGTACGGTTCGTAGCTCCAAATTGTTGGCACGCTTCTYAATAAATGTCAAAAAGTCCTGATACATTGGGATGTTGTTCGTCTGAAGGCTCATCCCCCACTCATACCTGGTGATTGTGGGCAATTTAGGTAACAGAAGTGGCACCAAGAGGGCGTCCCAATGCCTTACCGGAAGACCCATAACACTTAAAGCTCGCATCACATTTTGGACGGTGTCAACTAGTCGTAGCAAGCCCTTCTGGGGTTCGGTGGGTTGGTTAGGCAAATTCAGAATACACTGCACGTGGGATTCCACTAACAAGCGTGGATTATCAAACCGCCGTTTAATCTCCTGCCACATGTCCTCATAGCCGCCTGTTTAAAGTCCACCGACCAATAGAACGCTATCTGCATTGACATGTTGGCGTAACTTGCTTAATTTATAACTGGAATCCAGATCCTTACGATTGTGAACTAGTGCCTCGAACAAATCTCTGAAAGGCAGCCAATTCGCTGGGTCACCATTGAAAACAGGAATCTTAATTGGATCTAATCGCATGTCCAATTGATTCGCCACACAAGTACCACCTTCACCAGCGCCACATATACGACGTAGTCGAATACATATTTATGTGTACAGCAACTCCGTAGCAGCCAAGAAGTCGTCATATGTGGTCAATTCGCTGGCTTRTGCTGAAGACACGAGGTCCGTATGATACGCCATAAACATTTCAAAATGTTTGCCCAACTGTCCACGAATCACATCGCACTCAATGCTGTCCGGATCGTAATTAGCTGCTTCAGTCATTTCGCCAATGCGCACAATTTCGGCATGCGCTGTAGTACGTAGATTCAAACTAGCCATCATAAAAATCTTGACATTGGAACAGGAACGAAAAGTTCCTCACAGGAGGCACCAAAAAGATGCACAAAAGTTGTCCTAAAAAGTTGTCCGTCAATTAAAAAAGCACGTCTGGATCGTTAAAATGTCTATCACGAAATAGGCTGTTTCTTTATTCAATACCTCCTTAAATATACATATGTATAACGGATTGTAGCATCACGCCACATGATACATATGCACATACTTATATGTATCAGTCTCTGACCATCTCTCGCTCTGGACAGATATCTTTTTCGCTTACAAATGTTCGTCTTTTTTTTTTTTTGTTTTACAAAACCGAAGTGCCTTAATTACTACTGTGCACTGTGCACACAATAAAATACTATTTTCTCAGATAATAAACTTATAGTGCCACATATAGAGTTCGTGACATAAAAAAGACAGSCCTCCGAGTGCCTCCAGATGTTTAGCCGGGGTTTACCCCCCAACAACAACAATGCTCGACCAACCAATTTTACCGCCGGCCGGGAAAAATAATGCCCAACCATTAATTGTTTTTGACCACATAAAAACAATTCAACAAAAAACATGTGGCCCTAAGTATTTGGTTATGTGCAGAAAATTGAGTAACGATACACTCGCAAATGTGTCGCCTTTGTTAATTAAAAAGGTAATCGATTATACCTCCGGTAGTGAGGTTGAAACTTGCAAAAAAACTCAGAAATGGTAACATATTAATTAAAACTAAAAACTACAATCAAGCCGAAAAATTAGTGAAATTAGTGTAACTCTCACCCACTATACACATTGAAATCGTCGAGCACACTTCGCTTAACTCAACTAAAGGTGTCATCTACTCCAACGAAGAAGAAATCCTCGATGAATTGAGAAACCAAAACKTAACAGAAGTGAAGAAAATACTTAAAAAGGAAAACAACGACTCACTGAAGGAGACTGGTCTAATTATACTCACTTTCTCTTCAATATCTCTGCCAACTGAAATGTTAATAGGGTACGAAAAAATCAAAATGCGACCTTACATTCCACTTCCACTAAGGTGTAAAAGGTGTCAACGATATGGACACAGAGAAAAAATATGAAAAAATGACAAAATATGCCCTAACTGTGCTAACGAATTTCATACCAGTGAAGAGAACGAAGAATATGTAAACATAAAGAACTGCGTCAACTTCAAACTTCAAACAAAATGAAAGCTAAACTGAAATTACAGCACTCTGCAACTCGCAATTCCAAATCACCAAAAACCAACCAAACACGAGCTCGACGATTCATTTGAATCTGCAACAATAGAACTACAACATGAGGAAGTCCTATAGATATGTATGTATTACGCTAAGCTATTATTGTGTTCTTTCTAAGAAAACAATTTATTACTCAATATCACCATTTATATTAACCCCCCTACCTAAATTGATCACAAATACCCAAAGAGTAGTCATATTACACATAACATCAAACTCCTTTAAATGGAAAACACACTTCAACCTTTCTCTTCTAGTAGCATACAGTAACAATCAAACCTATCTCCATTTACCAGTAGCCAGCACATACCCACACATCTCCAACAGCACCTACCATCCTCCCACCACACAACGCAAACTCTTAAGCTACTCTTCCAATGACTTTTAAAATGATGCAATGGAACATCAACGGCTACGTTAATCACTAAAACGAACTTCTCATATTAATTAAGCAATACTAATACTTAATCACTTACAAGAAACTTACCCCTATACCACACATAACATTCCAACTCCCGTCAACTATACTAGGCTTAACAAAAWTCAAGCAACAACAGCTTACGGAGGAGTTGCACTTCTAATACATAAACAAATACAATATGAACCCCTGAACACCAATACACAATTCGAAACAATAACTGCCATAATTCACTCTAAAATAAAATTTATCATTAACTCTACCTACATATCCCATGCCACCAGACTGACGTCATCACTGTTGCTGGAAGCTTTTGAACCCACCCGTTTACTTACTGGAGACTTCAACAGTTGGCACATAAAAGGGGGATCTTCCCGTAATAATGCCAAAGGGAACTTGATTTCAAAGTTCTTAGATAACTCTCATTACACCCTACTCAATGACGGCACTGCCACTCACTTCAACACACACAACACCTTATGGTATAATCGACCTCACCTTTTGTTCACCTCCACTAGCTATCGACGCTAAATGGAAAGTAAATGACTACCTCATGGGGAGGGATCATTTTCCCATTATAACAACTCTATTTCCCACATATAATTTCACGTTCAACCCCATTAAACCGAAATTCTTAACTAAGCTTGCCAACTGGGGGAGTTATTATGAGATTTCAGACCAACTTGCTAGAGGAATAGAAGYAAGTGAAAACATCAACAAAGAAGCCGCAAATATGCAAAGAATAATATTAAGAAGCGCGCACCTACCCATTCCCCAATCATCAGTTCGACATTTAGAGAAATCTGTCCCTTGGTGGAATAAAAATCTAGAGATCTTAAAGATACAAAAGAACAAGCTTTGGATTAAGCTGAAGCGGTCTATTACGAAGCTACAAAAAAGCTGCAGCCAAACTAAAAAGGGAAATAAAAATCACCAAAAGTACTTCTATATCCACATTCACATCCGCTATCAAGCCCACCACCCCTTCCAGAACAGTGTGGTCAAATATAAGGCGTTTCTGTGGCCTCAAATCTCAGACGGGTATACATTGCATAAGCTCTGGAAACTCCACTATCACAGACGATTTCGAAATTAGTAATTCCTTTTGTCAGCACTGGACCACACAATCACACGACTCAAAATTTCCGCAACAGTACAAATTAAAGAAAACATCATTTACTCTAGCGTAGCCGAATTTAGTCCTAACGAAAAGGCTAAAATAATTGAGAAACCCATATCAAATATTGAATTGCATATCGCACTAAAAAAAGCAAACGGTTCTTCCCCAGGCTTTGACCGAATCACTTATGACATGGTTCAGCACCTCTCTCCAAGTGCAAAATCAAGGCTTACTTCTTTTTACAACAAAACTCCAATACTTAAACCAAAGGCAGACAAAACCAGCATACAATCATACCGGCCTATATCTTTGAACCCTGTGTGCGCGAAGATTTTGTACAGAATTATAGCTAATAGACTATGGTGGTTTGTTAATTCAAACAAGCAACTCAATAGCCATCAAATGGGATTCAGAAAAGGGAGATCTGTTACTGACAGCCTAATTTACTTAGACTACATGATAACAGATTATCTCTCAGAAAAAAAGCATATCKCGATAATATCGCTTCACTTTGCAAAAGCCTTCGATAGAGTAGGAATACACTCCGTAATAGATCAGCTTCTAGAATGGAAGATCAGTAAGAAAATAATAAGGTATATTACAAATTTTATGAGAAATAGGYAAATCAAAGTTAAAGTCAATTTCAAACACTCCAGCACATTAAATCTTTACAACGGAATCCCACAAGGATCCCCTCTCTGTATTACTATTTTTAATCGCCTACAATAAACTTGCTAACATATTATCAATACGCAGTGTTTAATAATTGTTTTTAGCCACCACTTACCTCGGCGCTAGGTCCTTCCGCACAAATTATTTAATAATCGAATGTGATAAAAAAACRGCCTGTTCACCCTCAACTAATTAACAGCAAAAC